GAGGGGGCACGATTGCTTGCACTGCGTCGCGCCCAAGTCTGTGGCGACAGAAGAGGGAAGGAGGGGAGGGTAAGTGGGAAAAGGAGGAAGGAGGAGATGCAACCCTCTTGGTTACCCTGGAAGCTTGGCGGGCCATACACTACCACGACCCCCCCTGCGCCAACGCAGACGCGCGATAAAAAATGCTCATCGAACTGAACCGGGATATCAACGCGAAAGGGCAAGAAGGAACAAAGCGAGTTGAAGGAAAGCAAAGGAGTAGAGGGGAACAAAAATGCGGACAGAGCTCCCCATGCCTCAGTGAATTGTGGACCCGGCACAGGGCGTGTGATTATCGCCCTGCTCCGCGCGATGATCTCCGCGTATGGCCAGTCGAAACCCCCCAAAAGGTACAACTCTCCGCCCAACATGCTGGCGGCGCCAGCCCAGCGCCTGCTGCCAGGAGCCGGCGCACCATTGAACAGTGGGCGAAGTGCAGCACCCAGTCGGGCCTGCCACCGCAACCGAATGGACAAGGAGTTTGGCCGCGAGAGCAGCGGCTGGGGCACCAGCCGCCACAGAGTGTCGGCAAATAACCAGCGCAGTGACCCGAGGCCCGAGGCGCACTGTCCGCCGCCGCGCGCTGGTGTCGCGCCAACGCCTGTGCAACCGGTGCCCCGGAAACGAGGCGACTGGCCAGCGGTCCAGGCGGCGTCGCAGATGCCGCCAGGCAGCTCGCCGTCGTCCGCCCGGCACGCGACGGCCCCCTGGCCCTGCCAGCCCGTCCGCTCACCCAAGCGCACGCCGCCGTGCGGGGGCCGCGATTGCCAGGGCTGCACCTGGCGGTCTGCCCCGGACAGCTAGAGCAAGGAGGGCTGCAACCAGGCCTCGCGGCCCAGCGCCTGGGCGCCCCCCTGGCTGGTCAGCGCCACCATTCGCGCCGCTCGCCGACGCGCGCCAAAGCGACCGCCGTCCTCGAACCGGACCGCCCGCGCCTTGGCGGCGAGCGCGGTCGTCAGATCCTCTAAGAAGTGCCGCGGCATGTGGAAGTCCCTGAGGCCCTTCAAGCAATCAGTAGTCAGCCACCCCGGCGGGCCCGGGAACACGGCCCTGCGGGCGCTCTGCTCCGCGGCTGCGAACTCCGGCGGCGCCGCGTCACGCCGCGCCGTGAACAGGAAGGCCGACGCCGCGCATATGCCAGATGCCGCAGGCGCGCAACGCGAGAAAGGAGCCAGCATCAATACGTTTCCAAACGCGCGCCCTCTCGGCGTACTTGGCCGGATGGGCAGCCCGCGCGCGATGCCCGAGGTCGGGGCCGAGGTGGAACTCCATGTTTTTCGCGGGGCCGGCAATCCCCAAGCTGCCCCGCCGCGGCGCCGACGTCGCAAGCTCCCGCCAGAAGTCGAGTTCCAAGCGCGCGTCGAAGGGCGCCAGCGCTGTCTTGGGGGCGTCGAGGCCCAGCCCCGAGATCCGGGCGAAATCGGCGAAGAATGCCTGCGGCGCGGAAGGCCTCGGTCAACGCCCCCAGCAAGACCGCGGCGCGATAGGGTCGGCGCAAGCGCGGGGCGCGGCGACAGGGGAGGGACGGGCGAGTCTGCGCGGGTAGAGGTCAGGCACAGCAGCGAACAACAATGGTGATCAAGGACATCCTTGGCGAATGCCCCTCCAAACCCCATGCCGGCGCGCGCCGATCCGCCCGGCACTATTTGGCAATGGTTGCGCCAACGCATGCGGGGGATGATTTTGCGCAGCCGCGCCGACGAACGCAGCTAGCGGAAAAAAACGAATGTAGAAGCCCGTGCTCCATCGACGGGAACATTGCGGTCAAGTCGATGAAGAGCTCGCGCGCCCCTTTTCCGCCCGCGTGGCCTCCGCGATCGATCATTGCTTCCTCCGCGTCTAGAATGTTCGCCAGCATGGGCCTTCAGGCAAGAACCCTGGCGGAGGCCCGCGATGCGCTGCACGACCCGCGGCTCAATCGCAAGCCGGACCGTGCTCGCGAGGAGGCGGTTGTCCGCGCTCGCGATGCGCAGCGGTCGCGCGCCGCCAAGGGCGAACGACTCGACGCTCTCCTCGGCACGATCCGCGGCCGACTTCGGCAGGAAGATGTGCAGAGCATTGAACTCCTCCAGGTCTCGCTGCAGGAGTCTGGGCGTCGTCGCGGCAGCACTCCACGAGCGCCCCGCGCAGGGCGCCCACGACTAAAGGGCCCAGACGCCGCCAGGCTGCGCAAGGTACCCCGTCCAGACCTGGCGCAGCATTGCTGCATAGACGCGCGGCGCGCCCCACGCGACCCCGCCTGGGGCGAATGCGCCAAAATCCCTCCCGCGACGGAGCCTGGTCCGCGTTTCCGTCCGCGGCGGTAGCGTCAGCGGGCGCGCGATTGTTGGCGCCCTCCCTAGGCCGCTCCGCCAAGAGGCCCTGGTCTATTCCCGGAAACCTGCGACCAACGCTTCCCGAGGGCTGCAGCCATCTCCTCAGGACTAGTCGCGTGACCGCCGCCCTCGAGCTGCACCGCCTTCGCGCTCGCGCTGCGTCCAAGCACCAGTTTGTGCAAGAGTCTGGCATGCTTCTGCAGTGCCTGGACTGCCCGTGTCGTGTTTCCTGACTTGGACGCCTCCGACGCCTTCCCAAGTTCGTCGAGGGCGCGATCCCTTGCCAATTGCGCTGCGCGGTCGCTGATAGGGCGCAGCTGGCGCTCCAGGTGGCCGCCCACCGCGCGCGAATTGTCCACGAGGGCAGCCAGGAAAGGGTAGCCGACCAAGCGCGTCGAATCTCCCCCATGGCTCTCGGCTCCACCACGCGCAGACACTTCATGGTAAGGCCCAGCCTGACTTCGTGCTGCACCGCGGCCTCGCGCCAGCCCACCGTGTTCCCTAGCTGCTGCCCCACGTCGCACGTGGCCTGCTGGAGCAGCCGTAGGCGACGCAGGCAAGATGCGCTTGGCTCCTCTGCCACCGCCGCGCACTACGCCAGAGATGTCCGACGAGCGAAATCATCATGCTGGATTGCCCCGGCTGACAAGCCGTGCGACACAAAACCGACCAACCGGGGGACCCTGCGCAGGAAGAGGACTGCCCTGTGGCTAGAAAACCCAGGCTTCCACTCCAACGCCACCGTCTGGACGTCGCGGCCTAGCTAGTCCGACATGTGCATATTGCAATAGAAGCGGTCCAGATCGCGCCCGCGACGAGGCCCTAGCGCAAGTCATGGCAGGTTGGTGCATCTCCTGGAGCTCAAATGGTCGCCCAATCGGAGATTGGAAATGCCTCTCCTCTTTTGGACCAAAGACGAGACGACACCACCCCACCTGCGGCACGACGGTGTTGGAACTTCAAGCACTTGCCCCGCGCAACCTCGGCTTGCTATCGCGAAGACCCCGCATGGGGAAACCAAAAGGTACCGATACCGCTACCCCCCGAACCTCTCCTGGGGTGCGTTCTGACCAGGATTTCGAGGCGAATCCAGCGGTGGCGACGAGGGCCTCCCAGGAGGCCCCCAAAAAGGGGAAAACGGCCGAAAGGTAGAGGCATGGGTACCCCTTCCCCCTCTGACCGCAGTGGTTCCGGGAAGCCACCGCACCGCGCAGGCTCCGACACCACCAGCGACGACAGAGGCCTCTGTCGTCGCGGCGCCCCGCTGCCATCGCCGTGGGGGCGGCCCGGCAGTCCGCCGGCAGAGGGGCCCCAGTCAAGGTCGCCGCCCGGGAGCGTCAAGGCCTGCGTCGTCGGCGCAGCATGGTGACTTCTGCAGGATCTCGGGAGAGTTTCGGGAGCGTTTCGGGGATGCCCTGGCCCGTGCTGGGAATCCCACCAGCCCTCTGGGCGTCGGTGGTTTAGGGCGTTTCCTCTTCCACCCCTCCCTCTTCCCCTTCGGGGAGGGGTTTACCCCTCCCCCTACCCCTCCCCACTGACCTGGACAGGAGGGGCGGGGAGCGGTCAGAGCGTCCAAGATGGCCCAGGACGGCTCCAAGAGGGCCTCAGAGAGCCCAAGATCGCCTCCAAGATGGCTCAAGATAGCGCAAGATGCCTGAAGATGGTTCAGAAGACGCTCCAACACGTTCCAAGACCGCTCCAAGATGGCTCCAAGTGCCCACAAAAGCATCATTAGAGTGCCCTCAAAAGGCCGAAATGCTTCGAAACCCTACGGACAATCAATGTTTTTGGTGTTCTCACTTTTTCGCTTCCGAAGGCCGTCCGAGGCCTCAAGATGGCGCCGAGATGTCCCAACTGGGCCCCAACAGGGGCCCAACAGAGCCTCAAGACTGCCTCAACAGCGTCCAAGAGCGCTCCAAGAGCGATCCAATCGGGGTCCAGGAAGCGATTTTAGACAGTCTGGAGGGGCAACGCTAATTAAAGCTCTGCTCTTCTTTGATACATTTGCTCCAAGATGCCCCCGCAGAGCGCCCCGATGGCGTCTAAAAGGACCCCAGACGCCCAAAAACTGCTTCAATTTCGCATCCCCCTCTTCCTCCTCCTCCTTCTCCTCCTTTTCCTCCTTCTCCTCCCTCTGCTCCTTCTCCTCCTTCTCGTCCTCTCCCTACTCCACCTCCTCCTCCTCATTCTCCTCCTCCTCCTCCTCCTCGTCCTCCCCCTCCCCCTCCGACGAGGATTCCTTCTCCATCCTCCCCCTCTTGGGGTACGTGACAGCTTCGCCCGCCCTTTGCTATTCTGCATGCTCCCCGACTTCCCTGATCACCTCAACTCCCCTGGGCATCGTTTCTGGATGGGCTGGTGGGGATACGCGAAGCGTCAACAATTACGCTCTCGAATTTCAAGATACGGAAGAAAGGGCAACTGCGTCGCCGACGTCGACGCGGAACCCGGCAAAACGGAAGAAAGGGGAAGAAGACAAAGAGACCCGCAGTGCACAGGGGGCCTCGGAGAAGACACGCCCGCCCATGATCGCATCGCTTCGCTGCAGACTCCTTGATGTGTTCGCTGTCCCCCGCGAGGTGAAAACTGGCGCAGTGACAACTTTGATATCAGGGCGACTGGACTGGAGCCCCTCGGAAGACCATCCTAGGAAACCTGCGCGCGAAGAAAGGGTTTCCATTGGTGAGATGTTTGTCCTTTCTGCAAATTGGTGAACACCTCAAACTTCGGGCTGTAATTCTGCACCATCGCCCACTTGACTGCCTTGAACGTGATCTCCGTTCTGATTTGGGGCCGCCGGCTTGTCAAGGCCCACAAGTAGCTCTGCATGCCGCCCTTCAACATCCGCCACCTGGAATTTCCCCCAATCACTCGGGCTCTCAAGAGAAAAGCCTGATACTCGACGTGGATGTCGCATCTCTTTGCGACGGGGTCGCAGGCGATCTTGAATGTAGTGGCCATGTTCGCGGAGTCCGTCTACTCTTCGATTGCAGAAGCCACCTGCTCCTTCGCAGCCATGATTCTTGCACCTTGCCACGATGATCGTTGGGATGGGCTCGCGATCGAAAAGCGTGTCGATCTTGACCTTGGGTTTTTCCGAGGCCATGATGCCGAACTTCTCCTCGAGCTTCCTGGTCATAATCTCCGTAGACACATGCGCTTCCAAACTCGACTGTTTGTTCTTAACGTGTCCCGTCCGTCGTTTGCCCTGCTTACTGAAAGATGCATAAGCAATCCGCATGGTTGTGCTAACCGTAACGATCTGGCCCATGAAGGCTCCGATCGTTGCGAACATCCTGGACGTGTTTGCATCCGCCATGCTGCGGATGGTGACCCTGGGCTGCTCAGGGTCTGGGCAGGTAGGGCGCTTATCCCTCGACCAACCCTGACCACTTTCAGCTCGACAACGCTTCCGAGGAGGACCGTCATCATGATGAAGAGCAGCAGCACCGCCTTTGCCGCCTGAGTCCATCGATACATCCTGCCTTCCCCGCCCTGGCGTCGTCCTTCGCGTAACTTCTGGGTCTTCAAGACACCCACACTGAGCGGGAGTGACGACAACGGAAACAGTACTCGTGATAGAACAATTGACACCCTCTAAACGAATGAGCGCTGCTGCGAGGAGGATGGATCGTGGGGGAAAGAGTCGGCCAGAAGCCGCTGGTTGACTCAGCCACCTCGAAAAGATGCTGTTACTGGAGCCAAAACGGCTTGAGCCAACATGGCTATGGACCTCCTGCGCGGCTTGCCCCCTTCCTCCACCGCCATCTCTCGGGTCGGGCGAAAGGGGGGGATAGCGAAGGGGGGTTTGAGAATCAGCTCACGTAGCTGATTTTCCCGGCGCCTCCCGGCGCCAGAAGGCGCGCATGTATCGAGGAATTGGCCCGGCGGCGGGGCCGAAACCAGCTGCATGCAGCAGATTTCGTAACCCCCCCTTTCCCAATCCCCCCCTTTCGCCCGGCCCGAATCTCCTCTCTGCATTGCGTTTTTTTTTTTTGAGGTGACCATGCTCAGGGAGGTGTGCCGCGCGGCCCGAGCTCAGCAGCTCAGCGTGAAGCTGCCGAGCCAGCCGTCGACGACGGTGCCCGCCGTGCTGATGACCTCGCAATTGGTTGTGTAGTCGCTCGCGCTGTGCTCGACGATCTGTGCCTTGTAGTCGTGGTGCTCGCTGCAGGTCATTCGCGAAAGTGTCAGCTTGCCTGGGCCGCAGAACTTGACAGAGGCAACATTGGCATTCTGGATCATGTTGCACTTGCCGTCCTCCGTGGTGATCTCCGAGAACTCGGCGGTACCCGCGGCGTCCGCGGAGGTCGAGGTGAAGATCTGCGTCTGCTGGCCGCACACGAACCTGGTGTGCGTCACAGCGGCCTGCGCGGACGCCAGCAGGAGCAGCACAGAGGCGGCGCGGAGCGCCATGACGCGGGCGGCCTGCTTCTACAATAGGGGGCGGGAGAGGGCACAACGCGCTGCAGGTCCTCGAGGCGGAAGGTGCTCGAGCCAAAATGCTTACGGATCTCTGCACCGCGTCTTGATCTGGCAGCTCGAAGGCAGCTGGGAGCGGCCAGCAGAGCTCCGTCCCTCTCTCGGTCGGGACCGGGGGCCACGGCAAGCAGGCCGCGAGAGGGCCCCGTGGCCAGGGAGGCCGCGGAGCCGGGGCCGCGGCAGGCGGTCGCAATGCCGCGCGGTGGGGCTGCAGGGCCCCTGGACGCCCAGCTGGCCATCGCTCGGACGTCCCTTTCCTGTTTTTTTTTTCGGTTTCGTGCGTGGCTTTTTCGCGAGATGATCAAGGATGCTCCTCGATGGTCCTCGCCGAAGGAAGAATGCACACGTCCGAGCAATGCCAAGCCGAACGAAAACCGAAGCTGGAAGCCCACGGCCCGTGCCTGAGCGCCAAGATGCGCCAGGAAGCAGCGAAGGAACGACGCGGGAGTCGCCCCTGCTAAGGGGACGGGCCGGCCGGCGGCCTGCGCGGGGCGGCCGTGGCCGCTCACTCTGTCCACCCGTGGAGCCTCTTCACGGTGCTGTGCAGAAGTGTGGCTGAAACCGTCCTCCTGCAGATCCCACTCTGACGGGCCGAGAGGCAAGGATGCAAGGTTCCCCCAGGAGAGTCACACTCATCCTCATGATGCGGTTTGGCGGCAACGTTTGGCATGAATAGGAGAAGGTCCTGAGGGGAGCGGGTACTGGACCCAGGGGCAGTTCCCAGAAGACGGCCCCGAAGCCCTGGAAGGGCCTCACAAGGCAGAGAGCGGCGACACATCTCAAAACCCACTCTGCCCTCGTTCGAACCAGATCGATCGTCCAGGAACCGTGGCTGGGGAGAAGGCGAGATGGCCCGTAGCGTTTCTTCCCCTGGGTCACTCAATTTCACGCATCGCGCCTCGCGGGTGCGCGACGCGCGGTGATCTTCGCGCCCCCGCAAAGCCCTCTGGACGAGGGCCAGCTTAGCGGCTCAAGCCGGGACGCGCGCAGCGCGGGCAGATGGGGTCGGAGAATCGCGCCGCATCGCCGATGCATCGGCGACGTCGGCGTGGAGAACATCGGGACCCACGTCGAGCCGCATCGCTGATGCATCGGCGATGCGGCGCGACCCTCCGACCCCATCTACGCACTCGGACCCCATTTGTGAAGCCTGGGACACACAAATAAATACACACAAACAACAGGATTTCCAATCTTTTCCTATATTTTCTGGGTTTCTGTCTTCCCCCCCACTTCCCATATTCTCCCATACTCTCCGGGGAATCGACGATGAATTGTGTCTGTGTGTTTTGTCTCCTCCTGAATTTGGGAGGCACGGACCTTCGCGCCCCGTGGGGGTGACCTGGGCCCCCCCCCCGCGGCGAGGCTGGGGTTGGGGGCTGGCCAGCGCGCTCTGCAGGCCCAGGTCGTCACTGTATGCCTGCTCGACGAGCTCCTGGCGGGCTCCCGTCTCTGTCGGGCGCTGGCAGAACTGGGTCTAGTGGAACCTGGTTTAGTGATTTGTACCGGGGGCGCCCCCCCGTCCCATTTCCACTGACCCGAGCTGCCGTCACCCGAAACACACCAACTACGGCAAACCTGGTTTAATGAATCTGGCCAATTGAAGGGCCCCAGGGCCCTACCACTAACCGGGTCCTCTTACCCCGGGTCCTGGCTATATGCGACTCTGCCCTCCGTGCTGCTGGTTTCTTTTCCACTTTTCTCAAACAAGCCCCGTTGGCTTCGTGCGCCCATGATAGTGCCGTCGCTGCCGTGAACAACGGGTGAGGAAGCTCCAGGGCCCTCGCATTCTCACTCCCTTTTTTCTCGTGTGCTGACCTGGAGAAATCTGGAAGGCAATGGGGGGATGGAGGTACCGTTGCGTCGCTGCCGCTCCGCCCGCGCAGACGCTCCAGCAACAACTCCGCCTTGAGCACCGACTCTGGATCCAGCGTATGCCCTGCTGTGTGGGCTGCTCCGTCGTCAGCAGAATACGGTGCTCCACGAATCCTTCTGGACGGCTGTTCCACTGCATGCTGCCAACGCTGTGAATTATGGCAACGCGCCTACTGGATGGCGTGCGAGCTGCTCGTGTGAGAACTCAACAAGATGTAAGATTTCCAAGACGATGTGCCAAGGAATCGGTTCTGGATGGCATAGGTGATCTGCTGCATGGACTCTTCCGTCGCCGATTGGATTTAGCTCTCAGCATGTCCTCCAATGCACCCATCCCCTGTCACGAAAATCGCAAGAGTGAGCCATGAAGGCTTTGGCGGCGCGGCACTCCTACTTGGCGCTTGCCATCTCTCCAAACAAAACTAATTAACAGAAGTGAGCGGGTCGACATTGCACTGTATGTTGTGCGCCTCCCGTGTCAAGACAGCTCCCTGAAAATCGCTACTGGGTGGGGCTGTGAGAATAGTTGTTTGATCGCGACCGTAGCGGCAAAACGCTCGGCGTAAAGTCAACGCGCAACTAATGATCAGCGGACTAAATTAGGCGCCTGTGAGAATGCGCGTAGCGTCAAGAACTTTTGGGTCCGCGATAGGTCGTACAATAGGGACCTGATTAAGAGGATATCCCGCGCGGAAACCGTTGTTGTAGTCGGGGGGCCATGGGGGCCAGCTTGAGATTCCGCCAACCTCGGCAGAAGACGGTGTGCAAGTGTCGAAATGGCACGACTTGACAAAGAAAGAACAGCCGCGCAAGGACCGGCACAAGGATGGATACAACGAACACCCCAAACCCACGTGGGAATGAACTCCATCGCGCTCGTTCGGCCGCGCCGAGCAGCACCACGGGACTGGACCGGACTGGAACTCGGCACTCCAAGCAAGATCACACAACCGAGCGACAGCATGGCTCTGCCTCCGCAGCAGCAAGTTTGAGGGCGCCACAGGAGCAGGAAGATCAATCATTACCAGTATGCGAGGGTGAATGATGGGGGATCCGCAATCGTTCTGACTCAGCGCGGGCCGCATTCGTCCTTCGCGGCCGCGCTCAGGTTGTCCCTCCCGAGCGGCTCCCTGCAGGAAGACGGCCTGCAGATGATGCAGCGCGAGGGGTGAAAAAGACGGCGATGACGAGAATGACAGCACGGGCAACGTCGTCCACTGACATCTGCCGAAACGATTTGTCAATCCGCAGCCCCAGGGACCCCGACCCTTTCCCCCCCTTCCCCAGGACCAGCCAAGGCCCGAACACGGGCCCCAGATGCGGAACTCTAAGGAGAAACGCCCGGACTGCAAAAAGTCAGATCGTCGGAGATCTGGGCCGCTCCTTTGTTTTGGGCGCCACGGCTGGACGCGGCCCGAAAAAGCTGCCCGGGCGGACCCCTCGGAGGGTCCCGGGGCCGACTTTGAGCAGATTTGGGCCAGGATACGGCGGCCGCGTGCCCTTTGCCTCTGTCCGCCCCCCCTTCCCGAGGGGGAGCGACAGGGGGGACCAGCGTAGAGGGGAAACGTTGAGCTAGAATCAACCATATAGCGCCGATAAATCGGCGGCCGGCCCCGCTGATGGCGGAGGGCGGATGCCCCTGGCTCCCCGTTCGAGGAGGAGGATCGAGGGTGCCCGTTTTGGGGGCGCTCCTGGCCCGCTTGGGCCTCTAGAGGCCTCCTGGCACCTCCTCAAGGCCCGCGTCGCAATATTCGAACATCGAAGCGTGGCGCATGTTTCTGTTGCGGGCTCGTTGCCCATCGACCTTGGGCGGTCTTCGGCGGTCTTCTGACGGTCTTCGGCGCAGAAGCTGGATGTTGCGTTTGACAAGAGGCCCTTGACCGAACACCCGACGCAGGGAAACACGCTCGGCATGTGAGCCGTGCGAACTGCTTGGAATGAAATCGGCTACACGGAGGAGCGACCCTGGGTAAGAGTGACCTTTGGTGCGCAGCTTTTTGGGGGCCGCGGGGGGACCAAACCTGGGCGCACAAGCCGCTGCTCCCGCTTCGTTTTCATCCATCTGGGGACCCATCTGTGCCCGCACCAGAGGTCACTCCAGCGAAAGGTCACTCTAACGTCTAGTCGAATGAAAGAAGCGGGTCCTGAGGGAAACGGGTCCGGCCTTTCCCGTGACAGCCCTCTCGTCCCGAATCGTTTTCCGACGGCCACGGGGCCCGTGCAGGGCCCCGTTGCCAAGAACACTGCGGAGAGCCCTGGAGCCCGTTTCACGCAAGGCTGCTCTACGGCAAGCTCTGCGAGCTGTGCCCGTGCTGGAGGGAAGATACCGAAAGGAAGCGGGAAGGATGAGCACGTGGAGGAGCACGAGGAGGAGGTGGAGGAGGAACACGAGGAGGAAGAGGAGGAGGAGGAGGAGAAGGAGGAGGAGGTGGAACACGAGGAGAAGAAGGAGTGGGACCAGGAAGAAGAACGTGTGGAGAAGGAGGAGGAGGAGGTGGAGGATGACGTCACCGTTAGAGTCCTGCCCCCTGGACCAAGGGTCAGCATCGGATCGAATCCGATGGTCCCACGCCTCGGCCCTCATCAGCCGCATTCCCCATTCTCGTCCCCGCGCCCATCAGTATACCCATAGGACCGCCCTTCGGCTAAACAAGAGAGGCAGGGGGGAAGGGTGCAGCCTTCGGCTTGCGAGTGGAATTGGGTCGGATTCGAGACATACCAATCTACCGATCTTGCCCGCCCAATCGACCGGCGCACACTGTCTACCATCTGATCCCACTACAAAGATCGATTCCTCTAGATTTTACTACCCCTCTCGATCTATAAACCTCCCTATCTCTCTCTCTCTCTCTCTCTCTTTATATATATATATATATGTATATGTCCGTGCCACTATCTGTCGACCGGATAAAGATGTCACAACGTCTCACACACGCACGCGGGCTTCCAAGGGACGAACACGGGCAACCACACAACAACTAGGTGACGACGACGGAACAAACACGGGGGAAAAAACACACAACACAACCGCGGGACAACCAAGGAACAACCGCAAGGCACCCACATAACAACCGAAGGACAACCACGGGCCACGTGTCTAACTACACCTGACGATCATACTACACGTGTAGTGTATACCAGGCCTGAAACCCCTCTGCCGGCCGCGCCACGTCTGCTGGCTTCTTTGTAAAACGCCTGTCTGGCCCCACGGCGGCCCTGCAAGGCTCCCAGACGGCCCAGCATGCTCCCAAGCCGGCCCAGTTCGGCCCAAGATTCGCTAAGAGGAGTCCAATTCGGCTCCAAGAGAATTTGGCCCCAAGAGAGTCCAAGAGGGCTAATGGGGGCCCAGGGACACATCCAAGACGGTTCAGGACGCTCCAAGATGGATCTAGGATAACCTCCACGATGACCAAATGATCGAGCAATAATTAAGTATGGTATGATATTTTGATATAAGTTGTTTCAAGTGTCAGGGCGTCCAAGACGGCCCCGCATACCGCACTAACACGGCCCGACAGAGCCCCAAGGGGCTCCCACTATCGCCCCGAGACACTCCTAAACAGCACCAAATGGACCCCGAGCCCAATATGTACAGGCTCAAAACGCTCCGAGAAGAGCCCCAGACGAGCCCAAGACGCCGCCGAAGGGCCTCAAGACGGCTCCACGATACCCGAAACATTGCACATACGGCCAAAATAATGTCTAAGAGAACTCCAATACGGCCTCGTAGCCCATGAGCGAACGGGATGCTCATCTGGCCGTGACCCCGCGAGGCGGTGTGCATGATCAAAAATCTTTTAAGATATCAGAACATTGCCGATAACGTCCCAAAGCTCCTGTGGTTGCCAGGCGGTCTGCCTGACGCGCGTGCTTGAATGCGCGCACGCGCGCTTGCGCATGCGAGCGCCCAGAACGCACGACCCCGCCGCGCTGGGCAAAACCCGCGCGCGCGCCTCTTCGAGGGCCTGAACCGGACGCGAGCGGAGTAGCCGTGGGCCTCCTCGGGGCGGGCGAGAGGTTGGGGAGGAGGCCCAGGGGTAGCCCGCGTTCTACAGCAAGCGTGGCAGGCCTGAACTGAATCGAACCGCTAATTGGATCGGATCGGAAACGGATCGGGTCGCCAATGAATCGTCCCGGATCGAATCAAAATCGGATCGCCGCGCCCGGCTCATGCTCTCCTTGGCCGATGCCGGTGAATCGAGCCAAATCGCATCGAATCGGAATCGAGGGCCCAGTACAAGAATCGGGGGGAGGATCCTGGGCAACCACGTGGGAGCCTTACCCCTGCAGGTCAGATTTCTGAAACGACGGCTGGGGTGCAGGATCCGCAAGAAATTCGCGGCCAAGTGGGCCGAGGCGGGGGTGTTCGATACCTCAGCGTCGATTGGACCCGCAGGGGCGCGGTGGTTGTCTGCGACGGGGTTCGATTCGGGGCTGTCGACGGGGGTGGCGCCCCCCCCCGCGCACAGCATGGGACCCTGAGGAGGCCAGGAGAAGGCCGCGGGGTGATCAGGCAGGGCTCGCAACGCCTCCTCCTCCTCCTCCTGTTCCTCCTCCTCCTCCTCATCCCATTTCGTTTGCGGTGATGGCTCTCTCTTGGAGGCGCCCCGCCGGGTGGAGGAGGGCTTTGAGGAGGAGGAGGAGGAGGAGGAGGAGGAGGAGGAGGAGAAGGAGGAGGGGGGGGAGGAGGAGGGGGGGGGGTGAGGAGGAGGAAGGAGGAGGAGGAGGAGGATGAGGAGGAGGAGGAGGAGGAGGGAGGAGGTGGAGGAGGTGGAGGGGAAGGGGAAGGAGGAGGAGCAAGAGGAGGAGGGGGAGGAGGAGGAGGGGGAGGAGGAGGAGGAGGAGGTCACTCCCCCCGCGGGTGCCTCCCTGGGAGGGTCCTCACCAGGTCGCCCGAGCCGGTGGGGACACGAGTGCGGAGTCCCTGTGCCCCGCTCTGGCCTCCTGGGCCCCAGCGGCCTGTTCGGAGGGTTGGAGTTGCGGGTCGGTGGGTTGACTGGCCTGGTAGATCATTCGTCGACTGGGCCGAACGCCAGCCGATACGTAGCACGTTTTCGTCCGATCGGGGGTTCTAGTACGCGTGTCAGTGCACATTTGGCCATGAAGGAGATTCATTCATTCATTTCGCTTGCATTCGGTTGCACGCCGACGGACGTTCTCGTCTTCAGAACTGCGCGCAGCAGGAGGCCCAGGAGTATGAAGAATGATAACGAAGGTGATGGGCGTTCTCGGATACTTCGGGGTGCCTTTGGCTTCGGAAAGTTTCCGAGGTTTCCAGAACATGGGGGCGAGGGCGAACTGGGGTCTTCAAATTCCCAGGTCCCCCATGGCCCATTCGGGGAGGCCCGAGAATTGCCAAGTGCCCGAGACGTACCCATGCACCTTCTCCACGCGAGGCGAACATTTGTACGAATGCTCCATACAAACAAACAAAAAACGCATCGCCAGATGTACACAATCTGCGCTGCCCTCATCTCCGCCGTGCCTCCCAGGATCCCACAAAAGTGGCGACAGTTAAGCAGTTCGCAGTCTTCCAGGGAGAAACGAGGTCCCCAAGCGATGCGCGTGACTCCCACCTCCGCCGAGCCTCCCAGGGCCCCACGAAAGAGGCGACAGTTGCGCAGTTCGCATCCTCCCATGGAGCAGCGGAGGAGGAGGCGGGAGGCAGGAGGGGGATGGGAGAAGTGGAGACCGCAACGCTCTTTTCAAAAAGAGAGCACGACACGAGAGTTGGAGAAACACCAAATAGAAGAGATATTCTGTGCTGGCCTCTCACCTTTCCCTCTGTTACCAACTTCCCTTCGCGGCTGGAACTCACACCTATAATCACCGCCTCGGACAACAGTGTCTCAGGACCCCGGGACATGACCCCAACTTGAAATTGATGTAGACCGTTGCGTGCCTTGGGGGACCTACATAATTTTGGGTGACCCAAAAGGGGGTCCAGCTGAAAAGGGGTGGTGCAATAGATTTGGGGCCATTGTACAGTCGTGCTTGATTGGAGAGGACACGCGAGAGGACTCAAGACCCTTTCAAGGGCCACATCGCCACAGGAATGAACGAAGTATGGGTCGCGAGACACAGGACACAAAAGTACCCTTGATCAGGCAGGGTCGACCTACTAATCCGGCCCGCCTGTATTACAAATGTACTGCGCCGGAGAATTGGATTGCGCTGTATTGCACGCAAGAACAAACCAGCAATACATTTGCGCTCTGAAATTTATTGCACGCCCCAATGTATTGCAACCCCACAAGTCCATTGACCAAACTATTGCACCATCCCCTTGTCGCTGGACCCCCTTTTGGGTCAACCCGAATACCATATCCACACCCACCACCGTCTGGGACCCTGGGAGATCGCTTCCCAAGGCGGTGGATATGTAGAAACGCTGGCTCCGACCTCCCCCTGCTGCGACCTGCCCCTCCCCTCTCGTCCCATGGTGGGCGTGGCCCTTGCGCCTCCTGGCTTGCAAAGGAAGGGGGCGGGCAAGACCAGAAGAGCGGAGGATGACCAAGGCATGGATGAGGATCGGTGATCGACCGATGGGAATGGATGGGGATCGACGGTTGTAAAAGTGGTTTGCAACCTCTAGATGCCTCTGGAGGGCCACCTGGCGGCCCACATGGGAACTCCAGCGACCTCGGCCGAGGCTTCCGGAAGCCTCCGGAGGCATCTGGCCGGTCACCTTTTGATTCTAGAATTTGTCGGAGCTGCAGAGAGATGAACAGAAGGATGTGGAAAAGTATGGGGACGATGACCCGACCAATGTCGGAGGAGGACGTGAAGGATCTCACACGCATGAGAAGACGACCCTCGTCGGGCTTGGAAGACAAGCAGTGCCGTATTATCCCAAACACGAGATGGACCATACGAGCATGCGCATCCTGGGTCGGCGTGGGCAAGGCTTACAGTGCGGTGCACGTGGATCATCCACCCACTTCCTCTTCCGCCCTTGATGCGTTACCAACATTCGTCCTCATGGAATTTGAATGTGAGCTCGGATGCATGCTGCTCGCCTTTCCCACTCGATGGGGTGAAGTACCATTTCTGTTTCATTCTCGATGCCTCGTCGTCCTAATGTGGCGCATTGTGCAACGCATGTCGCCATGGTCAGTATCCGAATGTTTTAGAAATCTACTCTGGGGCGTTCTATGTAACCAAGGCTGATGAGTCGTGCCCGAACAGTGCATCTCTTTACTTAATCTGAGCTGGGCAATATCGGTCGGAACAAATGGGAAGAAGTATGAAGCAGGATGGCGTTGGAGGTATATTGGATCTCTGCCAGCCCCCTGGAAACGAAGACATCAGGAATAGCACTCAAGCTGTGACATAGGAAGGCGCCTAACGCATATGACAACAGACGACATAGGGATCCAAAAAACACAACTATTTTCACCATCGCACATTGCGCGAACGTGCGGGCTGAGCTTGCGTCAGCCTCGTGCGCGCCAGCAGCTGCGAGGAGGAAGTCCGTTCGAGGAGGAAGAGCGGAGAAAGGGAGCAGGACGATGTGCAGAGGGTGGAGGGTCAGGGCAGGGTCGAGATCTCGGACCTGCAGATCTCCCAGAGCGGAGCCTGACAGGCTCACGCTGGTATCGGGTGCACGCTAACAGCTAACATGGATTAGGGATCCATGTAACTGTCGCGTGGGCGCCATATGTATAGATCGGATAAGGTGCCCCCGAAACATGAGGCACATGCCGCCTCATTTGGCGGCGGAGCGCGTCTTAATCTATGTCTGCGATTCTCCGATGGCAAGAGGAAGTCTGGCGACACACTGTGCCCTCCCCGGTGGGCACACGGGGTGTGCTTGCGGGACCCGTCGACGGGAGCCCGATGGTGGACGGGACGGGTCCACCGCGTGGATCGGCCCGAGCGGAGCGGCTCAGGGGGGGAGCATCGAGCTGGGATCGGCGATACGTTGCCGATAGATCGGCGATAGGCGCACGCTCCTGGGCGGGGTGTGTCTATTGGGCCCCTGCTGGCCATGAATGGGCGATGGGGGGGTCGATGCATTCCCCCCCTGAGCATATCCCCTCCTATCTTTGCGCCTTGGTTTTCGGATCACCCGGGTGACTCCAACCTAAGACCCATGGAGGCCCAACCGGAAAGAAAAAAAAATGGGGCGCGCCGAAGAACCCAGGGGGTCCGGTTTCCGCGGAGGAAAGAAAAAAACCCTGGCGATGGGGTTCGAGCACGGGGGTTACCCCCCCCTCAAATTCCGGAAGAGGAATGAACTCCCAGCCGCGGGGGTGCCCGCGCGAGGGGTCCCACCCCCCCAAGCGCAACCAGAGGAAGAAAAGCGTGAGAGCCGAGACTGTAAGTGCAATGCAACAACACCTTAATCGCGGTTGCACTAGGGATTTGTATTAGTACGGGAACAACTGAATTACAGCCGGTGAGGTTTGGGTTCGGGTTCGGGCTTATAGATTGGGAACCCAGTATATTGGAAACGCAATATATTGGAAACTCAATATATTGGAAACCCACTATATTGGAAACCCACTATATTGGAAACCCACTATATTGGAAAATATGCGCGATAGGACATGATAGTACCAGTTGTACTCAAGTACGAGTTGTACGGTAGTCGGAGGGGTTCAAGGGTTCCAACGGCAACGCGCGCGGGGAAGAAGGAAAGAAATCCATGCGCCGCCAGGGGTCCCGGGTTTAACGGGTCGCCGCGAAGGTTGACCCCCCGCGGAAAGAAAAAAAGAAATCCGGCCGGGGGGTTGGGGGGATGAGGGATGAGTCACGGGGGCGATGTTTTCGGCCACAACTCGGCTCTCTGTGGCGGTCCAGGACGATCCTGGCCCCCCCAGAACGCTCTCGGCGAGGCGCAGCCGCTGGAAAGCATCCCGAGGCTGGAAAACCACAGGGAACCGAGGAACATCGGGGGCGCGCAAACATGGATTAACGATCCGTGGATTTGGCGCTCGGTCGCCAAATCCATGGATCGGGTGGGGTGCCCTCCCCAACATGCTGCCAATGCCGCTTCGTTCGGCAACGGAAATCCGAAGTTTCCCATGGAAACGGGACCCGGCGCTGATCCACGCCCCCTTGATCCATGTTTGCGATTGCCTGAGAAAGCGCCCGAAAACCTCGAACCTCGATGCATCCCCCGCCTGAGCCTACGGCAGGTTCGTGTAGTGTCGCCCCTGGCGTTGGTTCCTGACACCGCGGGGATCGTTCAGCCTTGAACGATCGGCCGCTTCCGCAACGTCCGATCGTTCAACATCGACAGATTCTGGGCCGCCGCCCGCGTTCCACGTTGAACGCCGGCAGCCGCTGGTCGACACGACACGAACCTATGGTATATCGCCCCCCCCCCCCCCACCCCCACCACGTCCAGAGGCTTCCAAAAGGAGTTTTTGGGGAGGGGGTTTTCCAGGAGGGGTCCCCCAAGGGCTTCGCACCCTCTGTTTTGACGAGGTTCGGAGGCCCCTGTCGGGCGTTGGCAAAACTGGGTTTAGTGGAACCTGGTTTAGTGATGTGTACCGGGGGGCGCCCCCCCCGCCCCGTTCCGCTAACCGGAACTGCCGTCACCCGAAAAACACCAGTTACGGCAAACCTGCTTTAGTGAATCTGGCCAACTGAGGGGCCCCAAGGCCCTACCACTAACCAGGTCCCCTTACCCGGGGCCCTGGCTATACCCGACCCTGGGGGGCTCTCTGGAAAGCCCCCTCCCCAAAAGCCCCCTTTGGAACCCTCTGGCACGCTGCCCCTGACGGGCGGAGGGGGTGGAGGGGAGTGGGTCCACGGGGCGGGCGACCCCACGCGAGGCGGCCCCTGCCCGTCGATGGGCCCTCTGCCCTGTGACGCCCCTCTGTCGCCCCTCTCCCTGCCGTCTGGGGAGCTCGGGGGCGTCCATAGAGGGGTCCGAGGATCGCGCCAGATCGCCGATGCATCGGCGATGTATGGCCGATGCATCGGCGATGTACCGGCGACGCATCGCCGACGTCGGCGTGGAGATAATCGGGCTCCGCATCGAGCCGCACCGTCGATGTATCGGCGATGCGGCGCGATCCTTCGACTCCATCTACTCCGACCCCATCTGAGAGGCCTAGAGTCCAACTTTTTCATCTGCGGGGCGGGAGCGAACCTCTTCCGCTAAAAGCTAGGCGGGCTACGCACAGCTTTAATTAGGGAGACAGGGCGCAGGAAGGCGGGGCCTCAGGCGGCCGGAGCGGGCGGGGCCCGGGGAACCCTAGAGTCCAACAAGGGGGGTTTGCAAATCATGGCCAGAGGCACGTGCGCGGCCTAGGGGGGGGTGGGCCTGGGACGTACCAGAAAACGCCGTCATCGAGTCGACAGAAGCCCCTTCCCTTTGATCCCTCCCCCGCCCAGGGGGGGGGGGCAGGGGACGTATCAGAAAACGTCGTCATCGAGCCGACAGAAGCCCCTTCCCTTTGATCCCTCCCCCGCTGGCAGGCGGGGGGGGGGTCCCATGGGGTGATCCCCGGTGGGTCCCGAACGGGCCCCCCGGGGAGGGGTGGTCGTCCCATGCGGCGGCACGGGCCGTGAGGCCTTCGCAACAAGAAAAGGAGGGCCATGAGACCCAGGGAGACATCAGAGCCCCGGCCCTGATGATATCCACCCCCTCCTGACCGAGAGAGGTCGTCAGTTCTGGTTCCCCTCCCCTTGCCCTCGGCGGCGAATAGGACTGGTCTTACAACCTCTTCCTCCCGCCGAAGAGAAAATTGGTTGCCCCTTTTTGGGGGGGGTTCTGAAGACCTCCCTCGGTAAGTCCTCGTCCCCAGCTTGGACGCCATCGGGAGACGTCCGCGACAGCACGCACCGCTCGTCTCGCGGGGCGCTCCCTCTCGCACGAGGGCCGGGCCGCTGTCCAGGAACGGGTTGAGGTCCTCCTCCAGGTGATCGTAGCGCATCACGCAGGTGCACCACCTCCACGATCCATCGGCAGGCAGGCGGGCGGAGGACTGACAAGGGATTCCCCGAAGGACCGCAGGCGGAGGTGGGAGGACTGAGACAACGAGGGTGGAGAAGGCACGTGGGAGGGGAAGGTAGTGTAAGAAGGGGTAACTAGAGGATGAAGACAAATGGGAGAGCGAGCGGGAGAGGGAGGATGAGGAGCAGCAGTAGCATCAACAGCAGCAACGCGCCTGAGGGCAGGGTCCACACGCCTCTGCTTCCTGTCCCAGCCGAACACGTACGAGGCCTGGGGCAGATCACATGGAATGCAATGTGACCAGGAGAAGAGCAACGTTGAAGATCCCGTCGGGCCGTTTGATACATGTATGTGCAGAGAGAGAGAGAGAGAAGGCAAGAGAGAGAGAGAGAGAGAGAGACAGAGAGAAAGAGAGGGCGAGAGAAAACAAAAAAAGAGGGAAGGGGGAAGGAGAGAGAAAGGTTGACGAGGGAGGAGGGAGGACGGAATGAGGATGGGGGATGGGAGACGAGAGAGGGGGGGGAAGGAGGGAGGCGGGGCGGGGAGAGGAGGGAGGGTGAGGATGAGGGCGACCAGATTAACACCAGTACACGTCAGCGATGCTGCAGTACACCCTCCTGATCAATCTCTAAAATATTCTTCTCCACTGCAGGAAGCGCCCCCCTTGAATGACGAACGCCTGGTGGGCATGGCCACTCGAGCGAGACTCCTACCCTTCGAGCTAACAGGTGCGCAAGCAAATATGATAATGAAACCCACCTACATGTCAACCAGGAGAGCCTGGTTTTCAGAAAAGATGTAACCATGCATCCGTGTATCTGCTGCACACCTGCAAAAAGTTAAGATCGTGAACTTGCGAAGTCGCACGCGACGTGTTGCACGCATTCGAACTTCGGGTTGTATAACTGGAAAGTTCCAGGCGAGCTACGCATTTTGAACACGAGCCAACCTCCACTATTGTACAACTTGCACCTGGCGAAACAATTAAACAAATGTGTGCGGCGCTCTGGGAAAAACTGCATTTTGAAATCGACCGGCCTCCAGCCTTCTAAACTTGCGAAGATAATGCGCGTGGCGCTGAAGCGATAACAACATTTTGAAAGACCGGCCCTCCATCCTTGTACGGAACTGTCGCAATCTTCTGAAAGGAGTGTGCGCGGCACCACATTGAGAACAGCACTATGAAAACGACCGTCCCTCCAGCCTTGAAACAAACATGTGAAACGAATTCGTGCAGCCCTGGAGCAATAACCGCGTTTTCAAATCGACTGGGCCTCCTACTCTGTGACCGTTGTAAGCTTTAAAACGAAGGTGCGCGACGCTAAAGCGAGAGTCACAAAACCAATAGGTCAATTCCCCTGTAACAACTTGCAACTTTAGCTTCAGGATCAGGGAACGATGGCTGGAGTTAGGAGACGCGAAGGGAACAATGATGAGACGGACGCGAGACGCAATATTGTATAAAAACGTCAGACTGGACCCGGTCTATATCAAAATAGCATGTAGTGGAGCACCCAGAAGGGGTACACTCCATGCCTTGGAGGCAGGCGAAAGAGTGAGAGCAACAGACGCCCCAAGGGTTGCTCAGACTGCGCTCTGAAAACATCACGGGTCTCCGAAATCTACCTGGAGGCATCCGGATGCGAAGAAGAGCGCCAGAAACGTCGAAAGACCTCGGTCTTCGAATCTCCCTCCTCTTCCTCCTCTTCCTCCTCCACCTCCTCCTCCTCCTCTTCCTCCTCCTCCTCTTCCACATCACGCCCCTTGGCGTAAAATAGTGGGTCCTGGTGGAAGCGGATCCTGGACCCTGGGGCTTTCCTGTGGGCCACCTTCTCGTACGGGGGGAATCATTCCGAACCTCCCCTATAAAGGTTACCCCCCCAAGCAAGCGTCGATTGGTAAATCAACCCTCTGAGAATACACCATCGGACCCTTCCCCAAAGCTGTCGGCCAGCAAAGTTTGCTTTTAGTGAAAGAACCGGAATCTACCTTCCCGAAAAACCCTCTGGCCTTGGGGTGGGTCCACAAACTATGCGACGGCCTGTCGACTCGGGCGCATTCCCCGGGCGCGCGGCGGTTCGCGAAGGGGTGGGTGACCATAAAACAAACACTGCCACCACAAGTTCCGGAGGCGCCTTGGCCAAAAGTACGGGGGTCCGACAAAACGGCGGGCGGGGGCGTGCCCCGCCGTTTCCCCCTTCGCTTCCGCGGCGGGGGCGGGATGGATTGGACAATGTCCCCCCAGGTTCACCCCTAAAATAACTGCCGGCCTGGCAGGGGGCATGTCAAAGATCAAGAGATTGATACAAATCAACTGGTCCACTCGTATCGTGAACGCCCACATGTAACCACACATTGCAGAAAAGAAAGCCTACACAGGGATCATGCGTTGACGAGAAAGACGCAGGAGGTGACATGTGCCAACCCGGAAACGAAGTGGGAAGAGCAAGTGGTCTACAGGTTTCCTCGAGAAGTGGCCGGGGGACGTGTACACACTGACCCCCACCTTCTACCTTCTCATCCCGAGCCGTGGGCCTTGGGAACTCGAGAACAATGACATCCAGCATCCCTTTCTTCCAGGACTTCGTTCCCTCATCCTGACTCCTCCTCTTCGTTCCCCTCCTCCTCCTCCTCCTCCTCGGCCCTTGTCCTGGTCATCCTCGTCCTCCTCCTCGTCCTGGTCCTCCTCGTCATCCTCCCCGTAGGCGTCCTCCCCGCCCTTCTCCTCCTCCTCCTTCCGTCCTTCGTCCTCCTGCCCCCAGGCATGTCTGGGGAGCCCCCCTCCTCCCGAGAACGGGGCGTCGAGCGTGGGGCTCCGGGCGCGCGCCCGCCCGGGCGGGCCTGGGGGAGGAAGTGGCAGTCGGTTCCGTACGGGAAGCCGGCCATGCCGATGCGCCTCTGGAGGAGGAAGAGGACGCCGCCATGGACGACGACGACGCGGACGACGTCGACGACGACCACGTCGACGACGACAGCGACGTCGACGACAGCGACATCGACGACGTACGTACGGGAAGCCGGCCATGCTGATGCGCCCCTGGCGGCGCGCCCTCCCCCGAGGAGCACGCAATGACTATATGTGTGGTCCTATGTAAATACGCATACATGTATATATATATATATATATATATAGATCTATATACACGCATGTATATCGGAGGTCCGCGCACTTCTCGCATCGGCGCTGCGCCCCCTGGCGAGCCTCCAGCGCCGCCCCTGGCGCGATCCGCGCGTCAGGGAGGGGGTCCAGCGCCGATCCAGGAAATCCGAGCGCACGTGATGGTGATGGTGATGATTATCATGATCATGCGGAGGATGAGAATGACGGGAGTGATGAGGAGAAAGGGGGACGGGGAGGAGGAGCAAGGAGAAGAGGGAAAGCAGGAGACAGCAGAACGCGCGAAGGCTGGCTGAAGAGAGTAGAGGAAGGGGGAGGAAGGGCGACCAGGAGAAGTTAGGAGGAGCGGCAAATAATCCATCTAAGCATGCTAAAACTGGGCTCCAACACTGCGACATGGCTTCGAAACCACCCTGGCTATCCACAGTGCAGGCCATTTAATATTCCGAGGCGTCCCAAAAGGTCTCCACAAGGACACCCAGTAAACTTTCAAGAGGCAAACGTCTGTCAAATCCCTGAGTGGGACGTCGATGTTTAGCATAATCGCTGTTGTGGTCTCAACAGTGTCCAAGACGGCTCAAGAGGACCGCAATATCAGTCCAAAACGGTCCAAAAAACCCTGAAGACTGCCTCAACATGGCCGACTGGGGCCCAGGCCAGGAGGCGCCTAAGACGGCCCAGGAGGAGGTGCCAGTCCGAAAGAAGCCTTCAGACGCCCCCAGAGAACTCCAAGAGGCCATATCCCCATGACACCCCGTTTGGCGCCGAGGGCCCCAAGAGAACCCGCCAGCCCCAAGAGAGGCACATTGTGGGCCCATGATTTCAGGCGGCACGAGAAATCAGGATAGGTTCTGCGATCGTCGCAACCTCTCTCTTCGGAGTGCCGGCGAAATGGCGTAAGCCTCTTGAATCACCAGATCGTTTTATACCGGTTGATTCTGGGTCACCTGCGGCGTTCAGCCTCGAACGCACGCGGCGGGGTCGCCGCCGCGTAGACACGTCGCGAATCTGCCGTAGTGGATGGCACGCGGTCATCCTCCTCCTCCTCCTCACCCCTGGTAGGACGAACAGGGGGGGTGAGTCAAGGTGGTGTTAGCGGAACAGCTCATGTCCAAGGACACCGTCCTGCGGCGGGGCCGAAACAAACTGCCTGCAACACTTTCCGTACCCACCTCCTCTTTCTCAATACCCCCCGTTCACCCGACCCGATGGATGGCACGCGGTCTTCCTCATCCCCATCTGGGCTCCTCTGGCTGGCGAAGTGGTCCAAGACAAACTTGTCGAACTCAGCCGCGCTGCACTTGTACCTCCGTGGGTGCAGGGCAAAACACGTCGAACGTGTGCGAATATGGTCACCCTTACGAGCACATATCCGCCGCCACCGTGACGCGAGGCACGATTGGAGTGTCCCCAAATCCCTTGATCACTCAATCTTCAATCCTGAAAATTATTCACGCTTCCAATTCCCCAAAAGGCCGGATCCCCTGGGGCTTCCCGTGTCCCCAGGGGCCCAGAAGGGCCCAAGACGGGCTCCCACAGGCCCCCGAGACGGTACAAGGGGAGCCCGCGTGGTCGAACGATCTGTCCAAGACGGCCAAGATGTTCTCCAGACGGCTCGACGGCCCAGCAGATCCCCAAGACGCCTCAAGAGGGCTCCAAGAGGGCTCCAACAGGCTCCCTCCAAAGGGCCGAGAGGACAACATCATTGATTGCTCCATGATGTTTCATCATTTTGCCATTCTCGCCTTGTTGGGCTTTTCGACGCTCCACGACGGTCCAACGGGCTCCCAAGATCGCCCCAGATTCATGTACACAAGAGGTTACATTTGCACATGCAGATGCGCATGTGTAGGTATGTGCATTTTAAAAAGGTGTAGGCATACGAATGTGTATGTACATTCACATATGCATACACGTATGCACACACCTACACACATGTGCACATTTACATTAAACATCACACACAAGTATATTCATTCTTATACGTATACATATGTAAATACGTATACACACACGGACACACGGATACACATACATCCACATGTCTAAGTATCTACAGACATGCATGCGTATCTGGATGCACACATATTTGTATATACACATAACGTATCCATGCATGTATGTATGCTTGTATACGTGTCTATGAATTATGTGGCGAGGTGCCAGGTCCATTCGAGTTTGGGAAGTGTAGCCCGAAGAACGGCCGAAGAGGTTCCCGAGAAGGCCCCAAGAGGGTGAGCACAGTCTGGTATTATTTGGAGCCCTGGGCTCCAAGATGACCTCCAAGACCACCTTGAGGCCCGCAACATGCTTCGACGAGGCCCCCGAGAACACCAAGAAAGCCACCCCACGAGGCGTCGGAGACGCCCCTGGCTTACAGCCCAAGAACGGTGGCGGGTTGGGCCGAAACTACCAGATCCGCCACCCTGGGTGGTCCTGCCACTATGGTGCACGGCGTGTCGAACGTCTGGCAAATTTGCTGTAAAAAAAACTCTCCGTTAAACGAATTGTTGGATTACATCATTTTTTGTTGTATAAAAAGGTCTCTCACATTTTGTTGTGCTAGCACAAACTATCCGTAAAAGGTCTCGGCCCAACCCGCCGGCCACCTAGCACGTCCGGGGGAAAGAATCCCCTTTGCTCAAATCGCCTCCAAGACGGCCACGAAGGTCCAATATTGCCTCCAAGATGCCTATAAGATGGGCCAGATGGCCCCTGAGAGACCCTAAGAGAGCCCCACGATGGACTCCAAGACGGTCCTAAGATGCCTCCAAGACCGCCAACATGGTCCAATAGAGCCCAAGAGGCCCCTAAGGCGGCCAAAAGAGAAAGAGGTCCTCCAGGAAGGCCCGAAAAAGCCAATCTTATGTTGTTTCCCTTCGGTTTTTGATGTTTTTGGCATTTGCTTGAACACTTCCTCAGACGGCCTAAGAACCCCCACGATTGCACCGAGATCGCCCAAGAGGCCTCCATGATGGCCCCAGGATTGGCCGGTAGGCCCCCGAGACGGCCCTCAAAGGCCCCCAGAGGCCCCCAAGACGCCCAAGATGGCCTTCAATACGACCTTGAAGCGCCCCAAGAGGGCCCAAGACGGTCTCGAGAAGCTCCGAAGACAGTTGCTGACAGCGTCAGACGAGTCAGGGAAGAGGCCCCCAAGAAGCCCAAGGAGGCCCCCGAGAGACCTCCAAGAGGCCACCAGGAAGCTCCCAGGAGGCCCAAAGTATGACCCAAGAAGCTCCCAAGAGGTCTTCTCATCCTTCTCCTCATGTTCCTCACTCTCCTCATCCTCTTCCTCCCCCACGTGTTCCCCGAAGGGCTTCCACAACGGGCTCGGGGACATGGTTATATAGCGTGGCCAAACTTCGCCCCAATGCTTGGCCACATAGGCGTATCCTGAAAGGCAGGGGTGGCAGTGATTCGCCGTAGGCATCTTCGATAATACACCACAGCTACCCAGAACACTTGGATAAGGCGTACCAATCGTTCGGAAGAGGTGGGAGAAACATGAATTACGCAGACTTTGGACGTAGATTGGGCTGCCGCCCGCCCCCTGGAACGAGGAATGCACATTGAACCCACTCGACTCTTGAACCAGGAAGGCGCCTGACGTTTACTCGAACCTGGGATTCAGAACCTATCTTCAACTAACGATGGATTCCCGACCCCCTCGCCGCACTTATCCTTCCCTCCTCCTAGCTCCCACTCGTCCCGAATTCATGCGTGGGCCTAGCGAACAGGATGCATAAGAAATGATGCTGCAGCGCGGACAACGGCTCAAAAGCGAACACAGTTCCTACCGCACAAAAGTAGCAAACCGTCGGCTCCTTTTTTGCGGAGCTGGCGGATGGAACTGCGAATGCCAACCTCACCAAGTGAACAACTTATCCGCATCAATGCAATGCGGCAACCCGCGCCATGGAATTCTTCCCTGAGGTCACCAACCTGGCAACTGTGACTTCCTAGACACAAGATCTCATAGCACATAATGGCCCAACTTCCAATGAAACTGGTACTCGAAATTCCAACGACCGCGCGCTACTTCGTCGGCTCGAAAACGGGGTTTCCGCACGCCTGGACCAGGTTGTCTCAAATCCTGGCTGCCCTGGGACAGAATATGATGGACCCACGCTCCCACGGTCACCACCGCACTCCATAGGACGCGACCCTTTGTAACAAAATTAAGCCTGGGCCGCTTGGCAACGATCCCTCTTTGCAAAGAAACGGATCTAGGCTCTGGGGCCACGGTTCCTGGCAAACTAACAATGCGGATCCATGCTCCCAGAGACACGGCCTTTGCCCGAAAACTCTTCGTGTTGTCATTGCTTCCATCCTTCGGGACATACTTAAAGGGCCACTGCTCCCGAAACCACAGTGGTTCGACAACACATCACTGCGGTTGAAAAGTGGGGCCCTGAGGGATGGACTCTGAGGGTAGAAAGGAATCTCATCCCGAGGGCCCCGTCCTTCAGGGTCCCATGAATGAGCCGCAGAGGAAACACAGTAGGTTGGGCGCCCGAATGATCTGGGGTAATTCGGGCCTCGGGTAACTCGGGCTCGGATGCTCGAAAAACTAACCCGAATGATCCCTGACACGAGGTACCCCTGATGATTTGACGCTCAGGGGCAACTCGGGCCCAGGGTAACTCGGGTTCGCATCCCCGAAGGAAGGAACCCGAGTCAGCCCTGACCCGAATCACCCCTGATGATTCGGGGCTCTGATCGGGTCGGGCGAAAGGGGTGGATAGCAAAGGGGGGGTTTGAGAATCAGCTCACGGAGCTGATTTCCCTGGCGCCTCCCGGCGCCGGAGGCGGCTATGTATCGAGGGATGGGCCCCTCGGTGGGGCCGAAACCAGCTGCATGCAGCAAATTTCGTAACCCCCCCTTTCCCATCCCCCCCTTTCGCCCGGCCCGAGATTCGGAGCTCCGAGCAGGGGGTCGGGGTGCCTGAGCTCACCAGGGGGAACTGCTCCTCGTGCCAGCAGCCTGCACGTGCCGTGCAGGCTGCTGGTGCCAGAGGCCAGCAAGCGCATGCTGCGCCGACCGTGGGCTCCGCACGGTGCCCAAGGGCCCACGGGAGAGCCGGGCATCCTCGCGGGGCACCTGCGGCCAGCCCAGCTTCTGGTTCGGCGTTCCAGCTGCAGCGCCTTCTCCTAAGTAGTTTCGCAGGGTGCAGGGCTCGGGGTGAAATCCATATGGGATTTTTTTGCACCTCGAGAAGCAAGTCGTCTCGTGGTTCACCTCTTGCAGATTCAAGCCTCGAGGATCGATCGAAGCGGCATTTCAGGGTTCACCCTTTGCCCTCCACCCGAAACAAAAATACTCGGTTCTCGTTGGCCAGGAGTGGGCACGACGGCAGATCAGAGGGCGCGACGCGTACCGCGCTGCAGTGGCCGAGCGACTTCGGTCCCCTCTGGAGCGGCGGGCTCTCTTCAACAAAACTGCGACGGCTGCTGGCCTCGCCTTCGGCCCCCGCCCCAGATTCGAGCCCAACGCCCCAGCGCGGCCTAGGGGGGGACAGGGCACGGGCTTGCCTCGGAAGAGCTGCATTCATGGACCACCCCCGGAACCCCGACGAGACGCAGTCTCTCCTATACTTGCGCAGGCCGTGCCCTTCTCTCTCTCTCTCTCTCTTTCTCTCTTCTCTCTTCTTCTTCTTCTGCTTCTTCTTATCATTCTTGTTATTCCTCTCTATTATTCTCTGCGCACACACCACGTGCGCTAAACCTGACGGCCCCAGAGGAGACCGATGGGGCGGCGCTCCCCGTCCCGGCCGCGTGGGCGAGGGCTGGGAAATCCGTGCCTGCTAATAAAACGGTCTTCCCGGAAGGGCAAAACAAACTCCCGGAATAAAACTCAGCGCACTAAATGATAACGGGCGGCTTCCCGGAAGAAAGAAACAGTTTCCCGGAGCTCCGCTTTGGCAGCCACGGGTTTGCCAGCCTTCGCCTGGCTTCCGAAAGGGGGGCCGGCTCCTCGAGCATGTCGGTGCTGCGGGCCGCCCACGTCGCAGCGGGCGCGGCCGAGAGCGCGGGAGAGGCCGCCGTCCGCGGGCGCCTCCGCCAGTTCCGCCGCCGTCTCTTGCCGCCACCGCGGCTCCCGCCACCTCGGGGTCCCCTCAGCGGCAGCGCTGTCGGCGACCTCCGCGCGCGACGGCGACCGCGAGGGGCGTCACCGGTCGGCGGCGCCGCTGCCAGGCCAGCGGCCAGTGCTGCAGGGGCCTCCGCTGGAGGTGCGCTCTCGGCCGCTGCAGGGACTTGGAGCTCGGCCTCGAAAGCCGCCAGCGCAGCCCTGCAGATGCCTGTGAACGGGCCGCCGCCACTGCAGCACGGCGGTCGGGCGTCGCCGTCAGCGGAGGCCCGGGGACAGTCCGAAAGGCCCGAGCGGCGCAAGCTCGACGCGACACGTCTCTCTCTCTCTCTCTCCCTCTCTCTCTCTCTCTCTCTCTGGGCACCGCCTGCGCGCCCAGCCTCGCTGCAGAGCCCAGCGCGGCGAAGCGCGGCATCGAGTCGTACCGCCGCGCCAAGCCCACGAGCAGAATTGTTTCCGGCTTTAATATTTTTCCCCAACCATCCTGTGGTGTCGGGTCTTAGTTTTGAAAAGACAATGCCCCGCGTCCTCACTCCTCCAGCTGCCCTCCTCCCTCCATCATCATCACCACCATCATCATCATCATCATCATCATCATCATCATCATCAGCAGCATCAGCATCAGCTTCAGCATCATCCTCATCCTCATCCTCATCCTCATCCTCATCCTCATCCTCATCCTCATCCTCATCCTCATCCTCACCCTCCTCCTCCTCCTCCTCCTCCTCCTCCTCCTCCTCCTCCTCCTCATGATCATCATCATCATCATCATCATCATCATCATCATCATCACCACCATCATCATCATCATCATCACCATCACCATCACCATCACCATCACCATCACCATCACCATCACCATCACCTCATCCTCATCCTCATCCTCATCCTCATCATCATCCTCATCCTCATCCTCATCATCATCATCATCATCATCATCATCATCATCATCATCATCATCATCATCATCATCATCATCATCGTCTTCGTCACACCCCTCACACGCTTCGTGGCCCCATAAGGAGCTCCTCCGAAGGCCCTAGTGCCACCGTCCACATGCGTCCCCCGCACCCATTTCGGCACACCCCTCACACGTTTCGTGCCCCCATCGGGAGCTTTACCAAATGCCCCAGTGCCACCGTCCACATGCGTCCCCCGCACCCATTTCGGCACACCCCTCACACGTTTCGTGGCCCCATGGGGAGCTTTACCGAATGCACCAGTGCAACCGTCCGCATACGCCCCCCGCACCCATTTCGGCACACCCCTCACGCGTTTCGTGGCCCCATGGGGAGCTCCTCCGAAGGCCCAAATGTCACCGTCAACATGCGTCCCGCACACCCATTTCGGCACACCCCTCACTCGTGTCGTGCCCCCATGGGGAGCACCACGCCCCATGGGGAGCTTTACCGAATGCCCCAGTGCCACCGTCCGCATACGCCCCCCGCACCCATTTCGGCACACCCCTCACACGTGTCGTGGCCCCATGGGGAGCTCCTCCGAAGGCCCAAATGCCACCGTCCACACGCGTCCCGCACACCCATTTCGGAACACCCCTCACTCGTTTCGTGCCCCCATGGGGAGCTCCACCGAAGGCCCTAGGGCCACCGTCCACATGCGTCCTCCAAGCCAATTTCGGCACCCCCCTCACACGTTTCGTGGCCGCATAAGGAGCTCCACCGAAGGCCCCAATGCCACCGTCCACATGAGTCCCCCGCACCCATTTCGGCACACCCCTCACACGCTTCGTGGCACCATGGGGAGCTCCACCGAAAGCCCCAATGCCACCGTCCACTTGCGTCCCCCACACCCATTTCGGCACACCCCTCACTCGTTTCGTGGCCCCATAAGGAGCTCCACCGAAGGCTCCAGTGCCACCGCCCGCGTGCGTTCCCCATACCCATTTCGGCACACCCCTCACACGTTTCGTGGCCCCCAGTGCCACCGATCACATGCGTCCGCCGCACCCATTTCGGCACCCCCCTCAAACATTTCGTGGCCCCATAGGGAGCGCCACCGAAGAAAATATTCTCAATTGCGGTACGCACGACTGCATATGGTTGGGTCCTTCGCCAGGCTAATTGTTGTTCTCTCTCTTTCTCTCTCTGTATCTCATTTTTTTTTTTTTTTTTTTTTTTGTTTCTCTCTCTCTCTCTCTCTCTCTCTCTCTCCTTCTCTTTTTTGTTTTTTTGTTGTTTCTCTCTCTCTCTCTCTCTTCATTTGTTGTCTCTCTCTCTCTCTCTCTTCCCCCCCGAACTCTAGCATAATGACGCATACTATGCAATGACGGACAGCGTCAATGCGACGACAATGCCGACAAAGAAGAGTCAACACACAGCCGAAACAAGATCCCACCCGCTCAGAGCGATCGCAAACCTCCGTGTGGGGGGGGGCACATCTTCTTTTGCGAGAATGTCGAATAGAATTGCGACAGCAAGCGCCCATATACGTCCCGGAAGATGCAGAAAGTCTCCTTTCCCCTGTAGGCGCTGTCCTGCTCCACCCGTGGGGGCGGCGAGGCTACCACCGCCACTGCTGGTGCTCCAGGCCCTAATCCCTGCATTGCCGTCCTCTCGCCCTCTTCTCCTCCCACTACTCCTCATTGTCCTCTTGCTCCTACACATCCCGCCCATCGTCATGCTCTCTCCTCCCCTCTCTTTATCCTATCCTTTCTCCCTCTACTCTCTCCTCTCATTGTTTCTCCTCCTCCTTCGAGGTTGAGGAGCCGGAGAGGGTGGAGGCGGACGACGACGCGGCAGACGAGGACGAGGAGCGAAAGGAGCCTGAGGACGAGGACGAGGAGACCGTCCTGCGCTGAGGGAGGTCGGTGGTACGGGAGAGCAGGTGTCGCTGTCGACTTGGAGGCGCACGGGGAGTGCGAGGAGTACGAGGACGAGGCCGAGGACACCGTCGTGCGCCGAGGGAGGAAGGCGGTATGGCATGGGGGGAACCGATGCCGCTGCTGATTGGGCGTCGGACGAGGGACGGGAGGAACACGAAGACCAGGCCGAGGAGACCGTGCGAGACGTGGTAGGGAGAAGAGCAGATGTGGCTGTCGATCAGGAGGCGGACGAGAAACGCGAGGAGTACCCATCGGTCGGAAGAAGAAGAAGAGGGTAACAACATGAAATAGGCTGGCGTGTAGATTGGGCTTACCGCCTGCCCGAAGACTAAGAGGGAACATGGGACACCACTCGATGATGGAAGTAGGAAGGCGTCCATCTTGGAACCAGGGAGTCCCATCGCATCTACTTTTACCGACAGGTGGGCACGAGATCGAGGACGAGGAGACTGTCCTGCGCCGAGGGAGGGATGTGGTAGGGGGAGCAGATGTGGTTGTCGATCAAGAAGTTGTTATCGCGGCTCTTCGGGCTGAGCCTCGGGGAATACTTGCCCCACTGTTCCGCAGGCCGGACGATCTCCTGGCGTCGCGCGGTGCTTTTCGCTCGCTCGCCACAGCGCTCTCCTCTTCCGTCTCAAAATCTTCCTGTCCTCGCACCGCCTCACCATCGTCATCATCATCAGCAGCAGCATCATCATCCTCCTCCTCCTCCTCATCATCATCAGCATCATCATCATCATCATCAGCAGCATCAGCATCAGCATCAGCATCAGCATCAGCATCAGCATCAGCATCAGCATCAACATTATCATCATCTCCATCATCATCATCATCATCATCATCATCAGCATCATCAGCATCATCAGCATCATCATCATCATCATCAGAATCAGCATCAGCATCAGCATCAGCATCAGCATCAGCATCAGCATCAGCATCAGCATCAGCATCATCATCATCATCATCATCATCATCCATCACCACCACCACCACCACCACCAGCAGCAGCAGCACAGCAGCAGCATCATCATCATCATCATCATCATCATCATCATCATCATCATCATCATCATCATCATCATCATCATCATCATCATCATCATCATCATCATCATCATCATCATCATCATCATCATCATCATCATCATCATCATCATCATCATCATCATCATCATCATCATCATCATCTCCTCATCGTGTTCAGCGCCTCGCCCTCCTTGCAGCATCCTCCTCGCATTCTCCTCTTCGCATTATCCTCCTCCTCCTCCTCCTCCTCCATCTCCTCCTCCTCCTCCTCCTCCTCCTCCTCCTCCTCCTCCTCCTCCTCCTCCTCCTCCTCCTTTTCCTCCCTCACCACCTCCTCCCCCAGGCAAAAAAAAAAGGAAGGAAGCATAGGAGGAAGAGCGAGAAAGGGAGGAGGAGGAGGAGTCCCATTCCCTTCCCTTCCCTTCCCTTCCTCCTCGTCCACCACCACCACCGCCGCCTCGATTGGTGCCGTCGGGGCTGTGGATGGCTGGCGGTCCACGCCAGCAGCCATCTCCACCTTCATGCCCCTGCCGCTCCCCCCCCCGGTCTCCCTCGCCCCGCTGCTCCCCCCCCTCCCCTGCCACCTCCCCCCCAGTGCCCTGCACTCTCTCCCTCCCCATCCCCTGCTGCCCCCCCCTTCCCCTTGACACCTCCCCCTGCCCCTGCCCCCCCCCCTTCTCCCCGCATCTCTTCCAGCTAACTCCGCCCACGGCCCTTTTATGGAGGTTCGCGCCTTTTCCGCAGGCTTCCCTCCTCGCGCAACCCCCCTTGGGCCCGCCGCCATGTAATTATCGGATATCCAAGGCGCGGGGGGGAGGGCGGGGGGGGGTCTGCGTCGCGCGCGCCGTCGCCGTCGTGGCTTTGGCAGCGCTAGGAACGCTCCCGGGCTCCTCGACGACCTCTTTAGGGCCATCCCCCTCGGACGCCCCGTGTCCAGGGGCGAGGGAGTGGTCGGCGGGCGGTGGCGCCGAGGGGGTCGCCGACCGCGGCGCGCGCCGCTCTTGAGTGCTGGCTGGCGATCGGCTGCCAACGCTTCGTCAAACCGCTGCCAACGCCTTGCCGACGACGAAGCCAGGACGAGGATAACATCGGGCGAGAACAAACTCAAGATCTCTGAGATCCGGCGGCTCTGGAAAGATGTCTCGGGCGCAGCGGCCTTCTCGGAGCTTTCCCGCACACTCTCAGAGCGTTCCAGAATGTCGGGGATGCACGGAGCCCCCTTAAGCAAAACGTGGTTTAGTGAGAACGCCCGCGGGCCCAAACCTGGTGGGCGCAAGCCTGGAAAAGATCGGCCGCGGCGTCCTCCCGAGAACCAAAAACGGACAATCCACCAATCGACGTGTCAGAGTGGAGGTTCTGTCCGCCCCCGATTCTCATACCGTTCCAACAGGCTCTCAGGGCGCTCCCGAATGCTCTGGAACGGGTTTATCCTCGTCCTCGCCCCGTCCGATCACCGCTTCACCAAGCAGGTGGGCTGTGCCAGCCGACCAAGTCCGTCGTCAAGGCCTCCGCCGCGAAGGCCTCCAACGGCGAGCTCTGCGGGCGCCAGTGCGGCTGCGCTGCGTTCCTCGCGGGGGCGCGACAGGGGGCGACGACGGTAAGCTCCGCTGTCTCGCTGGCCACCTCGACGCCAAAGGAGCTGGCGGGGTCACGCTGCTCCGAGGTTGGGGGGCGCGCGGGCGCAGAGAATCGGCTGCAAGTCTCGGGCTCCCTACCTCGGCCTCTGTGGGGAGCCCACACAGGACGTGCATGAACACGGCTCACGAATTCCCGAGGCCAACCACGTGGTAAGCACATTCGCGCTGTGCGTACTTTCGAAACCAGCGTTTGTTCGTGTACATGTACGTCTTTTTTTCGCTCCTGACTGTCAGAGGAAAAACTTTTGCTTAAACATAAAAGCTTTCGGAGGTCCGCGCGGATTTCTCGGATCGGCGTTGGACCCCCTCCCTGGCGCGCGGAGCGCGCCAAGGGCGGCGCGCAGACTTCCGAACATTCATGTGTATGTTTTTGGTTGTTCCCCGATCTGTGCCTCAATTTGCGGAGCTGGCGTTGGGGCCGGCTGGTCGGCACGAAGTGGTGTGGGATCGGATTTGGAGCACCGTATGGGACCTGCTCTAGAACAGGAATATACCGCAGACGGACCTACCCTTTCTCCGACCTTGTACTGCGTCGAACGCAACGGCCACCCTGTCTATAGAAGCATCCACCCCGAATGCGTCTACACCCAATGTGCCCATAGACGCGTGTAACTGGAAAGTGAGAACGGCATTTGGCATAGGCCACAGACAGCGGTCTCCTAGAAGCAGGTAGACTTGGCCCTCCAAGATCGGGTGGTAGCTGTTGCCCGCAGGGTGGGTCGCCAGCAGGGTGGGTGCCGCTGGGCTCGGCCACCACAGAGTTGTTAGGGCGATAATGGTGTCATGATGGGGTTGCAAGACGAGGCCAGAACAAGGACAACATCGGACCGGGGTACATCGGGGATCCGTGAGCGTTCCGGAACGCCCTGAGGGCCAATGTATCCCAGTCATGTTGCCCCGCCCGAGAGTGGCCCACGACCACTTCCAGGAGTCCTGAGTATCTTGCGGCCCTCGTTTCCGCAACCCGTGCGGAACACTGAGAAATCCGTGGGATCCAGAGGATCTCTTGGAGATCTCGGGAGATACCATTACCATGGCTTCTTGTTCCTCTGAACTGCCTTCCTTCTCCTGGCCCAAAGTGTCTCGTCCCTGTCGATGGAGGGAGCCTCTGCGAGTTTGGCTGCAGGGCACGCGCGTTGCCGAAATGCCGAGGCCTGCGCCGTGGGTGCCGGTGTGGATCGTCGCCGCTGGTGTTGGTGCCGAGGGTGCCTGGGTCGCGGCAGCCCCGCCTTCCTCGCGCGGCAGGAGCTCAGAGAGGTCCTGGGGCCGAGCAGGCGCCAGACGCTCCCCGGGGAACTGCCCGAGGGGTGGCGCCCGCGGCGCGCCCGCGCTCGGTCGCTGGGCGCAGGTCTTCCGAGGGCGGGCAGGGAGAGTACGAGGACTTACCCGAGGGGTGGCGCTCGAGGCGCAATCGCGCTCGGTCCCTCGGAGAAGGTCTTCGGGAGGCTTTCAAAATCCTAGGAACGGTCTTCCCTGGAGTCTCAGGGAAGTCCTCGATCTTGGCGGGCGACAGCTTCTCGCGTTGTCGCCACCGTTACACTGCGGTGGTGCCTGGGTTGGAACTGTAGCCTCGGGAGGCGGTATCCAGGCAGCTCGTCCCTGCAACAAACGGGTCGCCTTCCTCGCAGGTAGCATTTGGGGTTGCGTCGTGTCGGTAAAGCCACATGGCCCTGAAACTCGTGATGGTTTGCCTGGATGGGCACATGGACGACGGTATTAGAAGAGTAATTATAATCACAAGCAACATAAACGTAAACTTTCTGACGGTCCGCGCGGAATTCTCGGATCTGAACTGGACCCCTTTCCCTGACGCACGCGGAACGCGCCAGGGGCGGCGCGGGAGGCGCCGCCCAGGGGGCCCCAGCGCGGGTCCAAGAAATCCGCGCGGAGCGTCGAACATTTATGCTTATGTGCTTCTTCTTCTTCGAGACATGCCTGCTGCACGGGGCGCTGCTGGCAAGATGTGCGGCCACCGCGGCGACGGCCGCGGCGACCAGCGTCCGGACGCCGCGTGTCCCAGTGGCGCGCAAACATGGATTACCGATCCATGAATTTGGCGCGCGGTCGCCAAATCCATGGATCGGGGGAGGTGCCCTCCCCAAAATGCGGCCGGTGCCGCCTCGTTCGGCGGCGGAAATCCGCGATTTCCCATGGAAACGGGACCCGTCGCTAATCCGCGCCCCCTCGATCCATGTTTGCGATCGCCTGAGTGTCCGTGCTGCTGCACTCGGAGAGCGCGTGGCCAGACGGGCCTCGGCACACGGGCTGTCACAGGAGTGAACTAGGGCGTGGGCGCGCTCGGGGGAGAACTGCCGCCGTGGGTCGAGGCGTTCTCCCTGCCTCGTCCTCCCCAGCTGCTGCGGCTGGCTTTAGGTCGGGCGTGTCCCCCTGCAGGCGGATTTTGGAGGAAAATTGAAGATGCTCGAAAATACACCAAACATAAACAAACATTGCAAAAACAAAAAAAAACATCCCCAAACTATTTTTGACTATTTGGGAATATTCCTCCTGTAGAGGGACAGGCCCGACGAAAGGCTAGTTCTCTCCCAGCTCCTGTTACGCAGGGTCCTGGCTTCTGGGGCCGTTAGAGGCCTCCTAGATGGGGTCGGAGCAGATGGGGTCGGAGGATCTCGCCGCATCGCCGATGCATCGGCCATGCATCGCCGACGCGGAGGAAGAGGAGGAGGAGGAGGAGGAGGAGGAGGAGGAGGAGGAGGAGGAGGAGGAGGAGGAAGAGGAAGAGGAGGAGGAGGAGGAGGAGGAGAAGCAGGAGCAGGAGCAGGAGGAGGAGGAGGAGGGAGGAGGAGGAGGAGGAGGCGGAGGAGGAAGAGGAGGAGGAGGCCTAGAGCCGTGCAGCTGCCCCGGGCGGGCCTCGCCGGGCGAGACCTCGTGGCCAGTGCCGGTGCGGGGAGCCGCG